ACAGAGCACACCATACCCAGCAATAAAGACAGCTACTTACAGGGGAAGCATCGCTGGCTTGCCGGTCTTCTGCACACAACCGTATTACATTTAGGTTGAGGTTAATTGGCTTTGCTTGGCTCAGAAAACCTGCACAAAGGAGAGACACAGGAAGCAATACCTTAATTGCTGGCACTTACACCTTACATAAGAATAACACAATAAAAGAGATACACTCAAGCACTTACTTGTATTATTGTTTTTCTGGTTGTTGATATCTCCATACTGTTCTTAGGCTTCCCGATTACTCTGTTGCAGCTTTCTTCGTCTTTATGCGTGGATCATCAGCCGTGTGGTGGTGCGCTCTGAGCCAAACTTTCATGTAGGAATTGGGTCCCATGTCTCAACAGGGATGAAACAAAACAAAACCAACTCCCAACCATACCCCAGGAGCCAAACTCACCTTTTCCTTGTGATTTGTACAAGTCATTATCATGCCTACTGCAGGAAGAAAACAAATATATATTGATTATTTGGCCAAACCAACTCCCAACCATACCCCAGGAGCAAAACTCACCTTTTTCTTGTGTTTTGAACATAGTCATTACGACATCTTTTCTGAGTATTGTAGAATAGAACATGCAATGCTCCTGTTGATTTCCCTATTCACGAATCCTCCAATCATGCTTAACGTAGACATTGAAATCATCATGCCGAGATGCAGGAAGACAACAAAAATTTATTGGTTATTGAGCAAAAGAACTCAACCAAGTCACTTTCGTACCCAAGGAACCAAACTCACCTTTTCCTTGTGATTTCTACAAAGTCATCATCATGCCTACTGCAGGAAGAGAACAAAAATTTATTGGTTATTGGGCCAAAAGAACTCAACCAACTAACATCTATAACCCAGGAACAAAACTCACCTTTTCCTTGTGATTTGAACATAGTCATTATGACACTTTTTCTGAGTATTGTAGAATTGAACTTACCTGCTCCTGTTGATTTCCCTATTCACGAATCCTCCAATCATGCTTAATGTAGACATCGAAATCATCATGCCTAGATGCAGGAAGACAACAAAAATCAATTGGTTATAGAGCCAACGGAACTCAACAAACTCACTTTGGAACCCCAGGAGCCAAACTCACCTTTTCCTTGTGATTTGTACAAAGTCGTCATCATGCCTACTGCAGGAAATAAAAAAAATATATTGATTAATTGGCCAAGCCAACTCCCAACTGTACCCCAGGAGCAAAACTCACCTTTTCCTTGTGATTTGAACATAGTCATTATGACATCTTTTCTAAGTATTGTAGAATAGAACTTACCTGCTCCTGTTGATTTCCCTATTCACGAATCCTGCAGTCATGCTTGCTGTAGTTATTGAAATCATCATACCTCCTGCAGGAAGATGACAAAAATCAATTGGTTATAGAGCCAACAGAACTCAAACAAGTAACTTTCGTACCCCAGGAGCCAAACGCACCTTTTTCTTGTGATCTGTACAAAGTCATCATCATGCCTACTGCAGGAAATAAAAAAATATATATTGATTAATTGGCCAAGCCAACTCCCAACCATACCCCAGGAGCAAAACTCACCTTTTCCTTGTGATTTGAACATAGTCATTACGACCTCTATTCTGAGAATTGTAGAATAGAACTTTCCTGTTTCTATTGTTTTCCCTACTCATGAATCCTCCAGTCATGTCTGACTTAGCAATTGAAATCATCATTCCTCCTGCAGGAAGACGACAAATATCAATTGGTTATAGAGCCAAAGGAATGCAACCAACTCCCAACCGTACCATAGGAGGAAAAGTCACCTTTTCCTTTTGATTTTGTCAAAATCATTTAGGCTTTCCTGAGTATTGTTAATACCCTCTTGTTCACGAATCCTCCATTCATGGTTAACCTGTACATATACAATAATAATGCCTACCTGAGAATTAGAAATAAAATTCTCTTGGTTATAGGTCCAAAGTCAATAAACCAACTACTGTCCGTACTCCAGGAGTGAAACTTACCTTTTCCTTTTGATGTGTTCAAAGTCATTCAGGCAGCTGTCCTGTGCATTCTAGAATACCTGCTCCTGGTGATTTACCTCTTCACGAATTCTCCATTCATGCTTACCTTATGGATAGAACTCATCATACCTACTGGAGGAAGAGAACAAATATCTATTGGTTATTGGGCCAAAGGAACTCAACCAATTACCCTCCATATCCCAAGAGCAAAACTCACATTTCCTTGTGATTTGTACAAAGTCATCATCATGCCTAGTCCAGGAAAAGATAAAAAATATATTGGTTATTGGGCCAAAGGAAATAAACCAACTCCCAACTATATCCCAGGAGCAAAACTCACCTTTTACTTGTGATTTGTACAAAGTCATTACGGCATCTTTTCTGAGTATTGTAGAATAGAACTTACTTGTTCCTGTTGATTTTCCTATTCACAAATCCAACATTCATGCTTAACTTAGGTATTGAAATCATCATGCCTCCTGCAGGAAGATTACAAAAATCTATTGGTTATAGAGCCAAAGGAAGACAATCCAGTATCGTCCATACCCCAGAAGCTAAACTGACCTATTTCTTGTGATTTGTACAAAGTCATCATCAAGCCTACTGAAGGAAGAGAACAATAATCTATTGGTTATTGGGCCAAAGGAACTAAACCAACTAACGTCCGTAACCCAGGAGCAAAACACATCTTTTCTTTGTGATTTGCATAAACTTACGACATTTTTTCTGAGTATTGTAGAATAGGACTTACCTGCTCCTGTTCATTTCCATATTCATGAATCCTCCAGTCATGGTTACTTTAGGTATACAACTCATAATGCCTACTGGAGGAAAAGAAGAATCTATTGGTTATTGGGCCAAAAGAACTCAACCAACTCCCATCCATGCCCCAAGAGCTAAATTCACCTTTTGCTTGTGATTTGTAGAAAGTCATCATCATGCCTATTGAAAGAAGAGAACAATAATCTCAACCAACTAACGTCTGTAACCCAGGAGCAAAACACATCTTTTCTTTGTGATTTGCATAAACTTACGACATTTTTTCTGAGTATTGTAGAATAGGACTTACCTGCTCCTGTTCATTTCCATATTCATGAATCCTCCAGTCATGGTTACTTTAGGTATACAACTCATAATGCCTACTGGAGGAAAAGAAGAATCTATTGGTTATTGGGCCAAAAGAACTCAACCAACTCCCATCCATGCCCCAAGAGCTAAATTCACCTTTTGCTTGTGATTTGTAGAAAGTCATCATCATGCCAACTCCAGGAAGAAAACAAAAATATATTGCTTATTTGGCGAAAAGAACTCAAAAAACTACCGCCCCGTACCCCAAGAGCAAATGTCATCTTTTCCTTGTGATTTGTATAAAGTCATTACGAGATCTTTTCTGAGTATTGTAGAACTTACCTGTTGATTTCCCTAGTCACAATTCCTCCAATCATGCTTAAATTAGGTATAGAAATCATCATGCCTATTTCACAGAAACAAATCCCAAGATGGCACTGCTTATGGTGCCGCCAGGAGAACCGGTTTGGGGGCCTAGCAGGCCTGGGTTGCTGCCGGTTCCAGCAACCCATGCGCCAAACCACTACCAATTCAGCCAAACTGGTCTGAACTGGTAGAAACCCACCTCTGACCTCTCAGTCTCAGATAGCTTGNAAAACTAACTAATTAAAACAATCATATAAAGAAGATCATAATGGGAGGATGCATAATGAAGCCAAACTTATGGCCCTCCTGTTACCAAAGGATCCCAAGATCTGCTGAAAGGAGATTTACAAAAGGTCAGTAGGATTGGACTTAATATTTGAGGGAGATGGGCAGTTTAAAAATATGAAATGTAAATAAATAAATAATGCCAACATTGGGGGGGAGGGGAGGATGTTCCAGAGGGCAGGTGCCATGGCAAAAGAGCTCCCATTGGATGCAGCTAATCAGCATATGGAACCTATAATATGCCCCTCCTGCTGGACCCGATGGGAAGGGTAGATGTAACTGGGGAGAGGCAGCCTTTCAAACAACTTGCCCTCCTGCCAATGTAGTGCTTTAAAGGTCAAAATCAGCACCTTGAATTGGAACTGGAAAGAAACTGGCAACTAATATAGCTCATGGAGAAGTGGCATGTACCTTTCTAGGGGCATCCATAACTGCCTGTGCTGCCCACGCTGCTACCTTCCTTTCTCAGGATCAGGATTTGATCATGTCCTTAGTTCTTATATATGTGCTCAATTCCAAATTAAAAACAAAACTGTCAAATGTTTTATATATTTCTGACATCTTTGTAAAGTGTACTTTGTTCCCTGTGCATTTAATGCAGAGGTGGATAATGGATGAGCCTTCAGATGTTGGACTTTTCTTGCCTTCACATCAACCCTACTGGTGGAAGACAGGTGGGAGTTGTTCAATAGCATCTGGCAGAGTCCAGACTTAGATCAGCTTCTTTTACCTGTTTTTTGGTACTCTCCACTTCACTTTTGCATCTCTGAACCATGCGGGTAAGGTCTTGGATTTCGTGACGGCCACTGTTGAGATTGTTGCAATAATGTCCCCACGTGTTCTGCAGCTCTTTATACTGAAATACAGGAGAGGTCCTATTCTTTTATGTTTGTTGTGGCTTTGTAACTTTGGTTTCTACTAACTTCAATAAAAACACTCATTTCCCTCTAAGGAAAGTAAGCTAAGCCAAGCCTACCTTGTTTTCATACAGAGCATTGACCTCATCCTTGCTCTTCTGGGCAATTTCTTCATACTGAGATCTCACTGAATGAATTATTCCCTCCATGTCAAGGACTCGACTGTTGTCCATTGACACAATGACACTGGTTTCTTCATTTGCTGCCTGTAAGCTTTCTATTTCCTGCCAAGAAGAAGTTGCAAGAGAGGTTGAAAGTACTTCTGAATAATGCAGGAAACTCCTATCCCAATAGAAGAAGACACGTTAGAAAGGTTCACATCTTCTCCTTTGGGCAAGTGATCCATTTGTCAATTATAGCATTTCCCCTCATCATTTTAGCTCCTTCCCCTGGAGAACCCTGTAGCACCGTTCATCAATGATTTGCAGTACATGCAACCTATTTCAACAATAGTTGCAGAAAAGTTTCAGGGGCCATGTCAGACTGTAAGGTTTCCATAACTATATTATTTAACTTGGAGGAGCAGTCACGATGTTCAGAAAGAACATCCAGGAGCCTCCTTGGTCCTTTCATAAAATATCACCTGAGGTGGTCACATCACTCTCATAATTATAGGGCCTGATGAGNTAATAGAAAAAGATGGCAAGATGGTGACCAGCAGCAGGGGGAATGCCAATTAGAATAGCCTTATAGAGAGCTTCAGCTATAGTCAGTGAATAAATACATTAACCTTGAATGCTTTGGATTGGCTTCATCCTGTCTTGGCTATGGGCTGCCTACAAAATGGATGCTCCATTGTGAAGACCGTAACTTCCGAAAATGGTGTAAGTGGGGCAACTTCAGGTAATGGTAAGCAGGCCATGTGGATGACATCTTATATGATGGGTCAATCCAGCCATTGAGGCTTGCAAACTACTTACTGCTGTTCAGACAAAGCTGGAGTAGTATATCAGCATATTAAAATATAAACTATTTATATCACGGCATCACTATTCAGAAATCTGGAAGAAGTCAAGAGATGCAAACATTCTGTCTCTTTGGCGTCATCTAGTGGTCAATTACCTGACAGCTCCATTACTCACTAAGTGCAGAATTTTATAAAAATGACTTAGAGCACTCCACACCTGAAAACACCTTTCACATGTCCAAATTCCATTTTTATCTTGTAGCTAACTTTAGCTGCCATCTAGAGGACATTAGGTCCATAAAGTGACAGCTTTAGAAATCAGAGCACCCAGCCTTACAAGCACCATTCAGACACACTTTCCATGTAGCAATTAATGCCAGATATTCCTAGGCATGGAGATGTTCACATTTTAGCTACCATTCACTACAATTCTTTTTTTCCCCACTTTACTAAATATTTACAAACGTAATCAAGGAAAAAAAACCAGAAAGAAAGTAGGAAAAGAGGGGGAAAGTAAATAGGGAAGAGACCTATAGATATCATGAATAAAACTGAATTAAAAAAATTCAAAGGAACAGAAAATGTAAGGGGTAAGGTTGAAAAGGTAAATGGCAGACTTTTGAAATCAAGGGAGGAATATAAGATTCAATTTAAATCTTCTTTTTTTCTGTAAGCTATCTATGTGGGTCCTTCGTTTCCCACTAGATGGTGCTAAGTATTGCTAGTTGTAGCAGTGTTGCTCAAAATATTCTTTGATTTGTTTGCTGGCGTTTAAGTCACATTTCCAGGACACAAATCCAGTATCATCTGTCTGCTGGTAAGCACATCAGAATCATGAAGTCATGAATGGGGTTCTAATTGTCTCATCAAGTTTGTGTTTGATGCAAGGAGTCCAAAACCAGCATGCTTCAAAGCTGATCTATCCAGTTTTGGTCTCCACGATAAAATAAAGATACAGAGATCCTAGGAAAAGTGCAAAGAAGAGCAACAAAGATGATAAGGGATCTGCAGGATAAGTCACACGATGAAGGGAACTGGGTATGTTTAGCCTAAGAAAGAGAAGGATTAGGGGGTGGCATGATAGCTGTCTTCCAGTACTTGAGGGGCTGTTACAGAGAAGAGGGGGTCAATTTAATTTCCATAGAACCTGAGGGCGGGACAAGAAGCAACAGGTGGAAGCCGGTCGAAGAAAAATACAATCTGGAACGAAAGAGGAAGTTCCTGACAGTGAGAATAATTAATCAGTGGAATAGCCTGTTTTCTGGAGCTGAAATTCAAATACTTTGGCCATCTAATGAGAAGGAAGGACTCACTGGAGACGGGACTAATGCTGGGAAAGACTGAGGGCAAAAGAAGAAGGGGGGGGTGGTGATGTTATCAATGCAATTACTAATCCCATCCCCTGCAGTGACAGGAACAAAGAGCTTTAGAAGCAACCTGGAAAAGCCATACCACTATCCCAGCAAATGATTATTTTTACATGGGGAATTTACTGGAAAACTTCCCCCTGCAGAAGTTTAGTGAAATTTTCCCTCCCTTGTTTAATTTTTAGAGTTTGTTATGATTTTGCTCACAAAGAGGTGGAGAATGATGAGATGTCATTTGTGCCACGTTCTAATAATGACTGCTGTAATCATCCCCAGAGTATCCTCCACTGCTCTGGATGTTATAGCTGCCACTCACAGAGATCCCTCCGGAACCACCTTTGCTACAAACCCCGGTAGTTGCGGAAATATGTGTGGTGTTTTTGCTGCTGTATCCTCTACTCTTAGAACCGTACAATCCGCTTCCAGGACTTCCCACACTTGCTGAATCAGAACTCTTAGAAGGAGTAGGGCTACCACTTTGTCCAAACCCAGAACTTATGGGGGATTTAGAAAGGCTGTCTCCACTCCTAGGAGTAAGTGCAGGTTTGCTGCTTTGGTCTCCACTTCTACAGCTGGATCTTCCATTGCTGTTGATGTTTCTTTGGGTGTAACCTTGTCTCCTTCCAATTGTCCCACCATAAGAACGTCCACCAGTTAGAGGGATGTTGGAAGAACCTACAACAGCTATAAGAATAGGGTGGGGGGGAGGAGCAATGCTGAATTAACATTTTTTTTTGTAATCCAGGGATATGTATCAAGGGCATTAGGCAAATGTTCATGACAATACACATATGCTTTTCAAAGCTACTTACATATGTTAACTGGAGGAGCATTAGATATCCTGTGGAGAAGAGAAAAGAGAATGAATAATTATTAATGTTCCAAAAAGCCAGTTCTGTATCCCAAATATCACCCATCACCCACAAAGGAGAAGGCTGATGGAATTTCAAATGTTAAAATATTTTCCCAGCTTATTTTTGAATTGTGATCCTTTAGGACAGCTGGTAGGTTCAAATTAGCTATATTTGCCCTGTGTTTTTTATCCCCTCTGATCACAATCTAGAACTTATTAAAAATGAAGAATTGGCCATAAACAATGAAAAGACATTTAAATAGCAGCTCTCTCTATACTTGAAGTATCAACTGGTTCATTCAGTATTTTTTTTTTTTAATTATAGCATATTGCAGTCCTGAAATAAGACCAGGTGACCTTCCCACAAGCACATTAGAGCCACGGCGACACAGTGGTTAGAGTGCGGTACTGCAGACTACTTCTGCTGGCTGCCAGCTGCCTGCAGTTCGGCAGTTCGAATCTCACCAGGCTCAAG